AGCTCTCATATGCATAGCATCAGAAAGAGAAAAGATGCATTTAATATTGAATGAGTGAGAATGAAAGAAGATGAAAAAACAATAAATACTATAGTACAGTATCTTGATTCATTGATTATTATTGTTAATCTTGATATTGATATATCAGTTCCTAATCTCTATCTATGCCAAAAATGTTCTGAGAAGTTGTACAATGATCTGCAGGATTATATTGATATAGTGAATAAATTACAATAATATATACGATGCAATTTATTTTACTGTTTTTATATAGATCATATTGAAAAGTAATCTTGCAGATTTGACTATCTGAAAAAAATTACAAAAATATATACTTGCGTAATTATAATGATCATTTTAAACTGATAACTGCTAGGAATAATCCTTTAATTAACCCACATAATTACTTGCAGCTTCAAAGGTAGTGTACTAATATTAACTTGAAATTAATTTTCTTAATAAATACTGCTATACAATTACATATCCAAATATGCCAGTAAATCAAAATCTTATTCTGCTACTTTTTAAGATAAATTAAATAAGATTCTTGATAACAGTAATTCAAATGATTCATCTCTAGGCATATTTTAATATTTACTTCTTCAAACTGTTGTAAAACATACTATTTTTACTTAAGAAATGCAATCTTCTCCTTGGTCTTCCTCTTTATTATTTTAATCATCAGTTAAATCTCAATAAAGAGACTTCATATTATCTTTGTTAAAGCGAAAATAGCTCTAATAGAAGTTTATTTCCTAATGATGAAATTGGTTGAATTATACAGTTATCTCTATAGAAATACTTGTCTCATCTCATTGATCTTGAAAAGCTTTTAATCTTTCAACTATATCTGAAGTATTATCATTGGAAAGGTCAATGAAAATAATCTAAAGTGAGAATATTATGTGTATTATCACCTTAGTATAATAGCCCTTAGTAAAAAGAATTTTATCATGTTAAAGTTCTTTTTCATATTGTCCATCATGATCTTGATGCATTGACTGAAAATAATATAGTCTCTTGATTAGATTTTTATCATTACTATTATAAACAATTTGAAAATTCACCTGCCAATTTATTTGATTTTCCTGTACAAAATTTAGATGATGATTTTATTAATAAAGAAAGTGACTAAGATTGCGAAGAACAGGAAGATGATAAGTATAGAGAATATATGTATACTGATTAGATGATTTTTTCAAAGATAAAACTAAATGTGATTATTGAGTATGCATTTAATTTAGGTTTACATAATATTAACTTCAATTATAATTGAGTTGGTTATGTTAAATAATATTATCCCTATTTTGATCTTGCAAATATATTAAACTTTATTTGACAAACTCACAAATTGGGCTTGGTTAATGATGATAATATTGCAAATTGTATTGTGAATTATCAAACTTTAAATGAAAAGTAGATAATAGTATTTAAGCAAATTGAATCTTATTATTCTGACTTAATTATAAATTCTATATATCTTGAACTGTTAAGATTTGTCTTGATGAGAACTTGATCAATATGATTCACAATCAGCTTTATGAAATTGTAAAAGCCATAATGTTAACGCTGAATCACCTATTATTGTACTTGCATTTACAGGAGTTGTGATATTTAATATTCATAGTACAACTATCCATTTAATACTTTCTATTCTAGTCTTTAGCAAACTTTTGATTTAAATAGTGAAAGTCTAAAAACTACAAAATAGATTAAAAAGGATTAACTATTTCATTATTGATGAAAAAAGCATGATTAGATATCGCATATTTATCTTAATTAATATGCAATTATGTTAAGTTTTCCTTGAATATTAAAATCAAATATTTGGTAATCATCTACTTATTTTAGTTGGTAACTTTAGTCAACTTCTTCCAGTACTTGATAATCTTATATACTCCCAAATTCTATGTTATAATTCACTTTCAAGTGATGATATTGTAACATATTCTTAATTTTGAAAGGTTTATAAGCTTGACATCATTTAATATTAATCAGAAGATTTAAAAAACTATACAATTTAGATCACTTCTATTACATTTGCATAATAGTGAATCTACTGAAAATGATTAGAAGTTATTGGCTATATAATTTACTGATTTATCAACTGTTTTAACTTTAGATTATAAATGCTTTTTAAATATAATATACATCATCTCTAAGAGGTTCGATATTGATAAATTTAATTTTAACAAGCTCATATCCTTAAAATGCTTTATAGCTATAATTAATGCTATTCATATAAGTAATAGTAAAGTACATAAAGTAGATTTTGATATTGTAAAAAGCATTAATGCTTATTAGCTATTAGCGAGTAATACAAAAGTTATACTTAAGATTAACTTATAGACTAAAGATGGATTGGTTAATAGTTTAATAGGAATTGTTGAAGAAATCATTTTCAAAAAATCAGAATTCATTTTCTCTTCTTAATGCAATTCTAATAGAATTTGATAATTATGTTGATCCTACTGTTGTGATTACTGAAGGTAAATAACTGATTCTGATTATACCTGTTAGATATATATAGAAAGAAAAAAGTTCTTATTTATGTTTACAAATTCTTTTTTGCTTTTTATGAGCTGTTACAGTATATAAAAGTTAAGATTTAATAATGCAAAAGGTTATTATAGATCTTGGTAAAAAGAAGTTTACTACCAGTCTCTTGTTTATAGTAATATTCTATATTTATACTCTTGAAAATATTATCTTTAGCCTATTTTTATCTGAAAGACTTCAATACATCAAAACTAGCAAGAGGTTACAAGAGAAATTGGCTGAAAAGAGACGGTTAACCTCCATAATTTCAGATAGATGATCTTTAATTTAAATATAATAAAATTTAGTAATAAAAAATAAATATATATATAGCTTTATATTGTTTATGCATTTGTATAATAATTTAATATAAATTTTCTCTTTTATTATAAAATTTATAAATGTGAAAAATTTAAAAAAATTTTTTTTAAGATTATTTTTAAAAAATACTTATTTTTTGTATTATAGTTAAACTATATTTTATTGTATATGATTAATCAACTAATTTGAACATTTTAAATGTTTTAAATGCTTTAATTATTTCTATTACCTAGTTTTTTATTAATATAATATGAGCTTATTTTCATATATATTTTATCAGCAAAAAATAACTCAAATTCTTTTTTTTTAATTATAGCCATTTTTTATGAACAATAATAGATTTGTTAACTGCTTTAAATTTCAGATATTTTTATAATGATATTATGAACAGGTAAATGTGACGCAGCTCATGTGGTACAGAAGATTGACTAATTTGACATATCTGACATATGTGACATATCAGACATGATCGACATAAACGACATATTAGACATAATAGATATATGTGATATAACTGACATGTTAGACATGTCAGACATATATGATATAACTGACATATTAGACATATTAGACATATATAGCATAACTGACATATTAGACATAGCTGTCATATTAGATATATTAGTTATATCTCTCTATGTAATATATTTTATATAAATAGATAACTTGTTAATTCATATAAAATGAAGGAGAAGATAGCTTGAGTAATTTTAGTAGTGAGTGGAGTATTGTTAGCTGATGTCAGTAACCAATCCAGGAGATAGTATAATAGAGGCAATCAGGTCTATCATGCTACATTACAGTTTAAAGGAAATCAGACCTATCACGTTATATTACAGTTTAGAGGCAACCAGGCCTATCACGTTACATTATAGTTTAGAGGCAACTGGCCTATCACGTTACATTTCTAGTTTTGGTATTTCTTTTGTTTTCTTTCTTTTACTTTTATTATTTTACTCATGAATAAACATATTATTTTACAATTACAAATCATTGGCAATCTGTTGAATTACTCGACATAATAGTATAAATACTTTTGATAAACTGACTAAGTTAAAAGCTTGTAAACTGTTAAAAGATTACTGCTCAATTGAAAAGAATAAACCACTTGAACACCCTGTCTAACAGTTATAGTTCACAAAAATTACACGTTAATAATATTTATAAGTAGTATTAATTATTTTTAGTGAAATTTAGATAAGATTTTATTAAATAATATATTTATTATTTATATATATTATAAATATATTTAATATTATATTTATCAATTCTTTATAAATAAAATATTCTGCAATTATTGATAAAATTTGATTTTTTTTTTTATTTAAATTAATAGAATTAGTATCATGATTTTTACAAAATGAATATCAAAAAATATTGATAATGTTCTTATAATTTTTAAACAATTTGATTTAATATTTAATAATCCATTTGAATATAAATAAAAATTGTTTTCTTATTACTTTTAGAATCTTTAGCACACTCTAAAATTTTACCTATAAAATATTATATAATTAGATAATAAATCAAATAAAGTAATCAACAATTTCAGGAATATTTATATTAAATATATTTTTTTTAAATGAAGTAATTTTTTTACATCTAATTGCTCTAAAAATTGCTCTTTATACTTGAAGTTCACATGCACTAATTTTATGATTATTATTATCTATCTATATATAAAATACTATTATTTTTATTATAAAAAATATCTTATCTATTTTCCAATTAGATTATCAAATTAAACTGCAAAAATTAAAAAAATAAAAAAAAAATAAAAATAATGATATAAATAAATTAAAAAATAAAAATATTTATTAAAATTAAAAATAAAATAATAAAATAGAATTTACTATTAATAACTAGTAATTATTATTACTAATGTCACAAATTTTCTTTTTTAAATGTTTATATAACCTAATTTGAATTTTTTGAAATTAAATAACATTATCTAATCTTTCAAAAGATATTTTAGCTAAGAAAAAGTCTCTATAATACTTTAGGTAGTAAAATTAATTTGGCCACCCATTACATGTAACATATATAATGTAATATATGATCTAAATTTATTTTTTGCAAATAAAACAATAACACAAAAAATTTTCCTCTTGCCTATTTATACTACGTTATAATGTAATAAAATGGATATTCCCAGTAATGAGTCAGAATATAACCAGAAAGATTTAAATAAGAAAAATACTTCAGTTTTAACTTCTAAGTCTGTGATTTCAAAAAGAAAATGTCAAAAAGTTCTTCAAGAATTTGAAATTAGTAAAAACTTAAAAGAACAAGCAAATGAGTTAAAAGTTAGATTTAGGTTTAAAATTGAAAATATGTAGACCAAGTATTATATGCATATGCTAAAATAAAAGGTTTGTTTTGAGATTATAAAATACTTATAAATGTGTTAATGAAAGTATTAGCAAAAGAGTATTTAAATGTCGTTATGCTGAGAAGCCAAAATTACACAAAAGAAACAATTCAGATATAGCACGTATTACTACATCTTCTTATGTGAGATATACATATTATATTAATATTTACTAACTAAAAACTAATTCAAATTCTCGTGTAATAACTTTTGAATTACAGCATGCAAATTATAATCTTAATATTGCAACAGCAATATTTGCATCATCATATTGTAGTTTATCAGAATTATTAATGAATCAAATTAAATTTTATGTTGAAAATTCATCCAGTATAAGTAGTTTTATAATATGAAACCTTTTAAAAGCTGAATTTCCACAGCAAACATTTTTGGAGAAGGATATAACAAATGCAATTTAGTATTTTAAATGAAATAATTTTCATGAAATTAATGATCCAGATAATAATACATTTTAGTTACTTAAAAGGCTTAAAAATTGTCAAAAAAAGGATTCAGGAATGTTTATTACTAAAAAATTAAAACAAGAAAGACTATTTAAATGAATTTAAATTAGCAAGACTTATATCAAAGTTATCATAATGTAATCATAACAGATAATACTTTAGGAATAAATAAATATCGCATGGCTCTCTATTTATTTGTTAATATTAATAATCAAAACTATACATAAGTATTTGCACAAGCATTACTTTCTGATAAAACATCAGAATCATACATATGGATTTTAGAACAACTTTTAAAGGTAAATAAAGGAATATCACTATCTATTATTATTAGTGATGCAGATACAGGTCTAAATGCAATATTAAAAATAGTTTTACCTTTTATTAAACATATTTATTGTATATTTCATAAAGATCTTTAGGTGAAAATTATAATGCTTTTTTATTTAAGTTTTATTCTGTAAGAAATAGCTTAAATAAAATTATATTTGATATTAAATGGAATCAGTTAAATAAAGTGTTTCCTTATACTAATAATTATTTAATGAGAACCTTAGATAGAATTAAAGAATTATGAGTAAAAGCTTTTATCTATATGATAAGTAAAAAGTTAAAATAATTTGTATTGTTTAATTTTAAGTAAATTTTATTAACTTATTAAAATACTTATAATATTTTACTATAGGAATGACATTATCCCAATATGTTGAAGAAATTAATAGTATTATAAAGAAATATCTAAATCTACAAAATAATTTGATTGAATTTTTCAAAGGATTCAAACATTTTTTTAAGAT